CTGCGTGTCCGGCGCCTGTGCTCCACAACGGGAGAGGCCACAACAGTGAGAGGCCCGGGTAACGGAAAAAAAAAAAAAAAAAAAAAGAGAGAGGCTCAGATTCGTAACTTGCCCACAGTCTAGCTGTTTTACTGGCATCTGAATGTAGGTATTCGTAGCTCCTGTTCTTCCCACTAAGCCATGCTACCTCTCCTATTTCAAATAGTAAGTCAACCAAAACAAAACAAAAACCAAAAAAAACTTAAATTATACACTACTTAACAAGATAGAGACATCTAAGGCCTAAGAGGAGACCTTTAAAAACTTGTTGCAGGGCTTCCCTGGTGGCGCAGTGGTTGAGAGTCCGCCTGCTGATGCAGGGGACGCGGGTTCGAGCCCCGGTCCGGGAAGATCCCGCGTGCCGCGGAGCGGCTGGGCCCGTGAGCCATGGCTGCTGGGCCTGCGCGTCTGGAGCCTGTGCTCCACAACGGGAGAGGCCACGGCAGTGGGGGGCCCACGGACCGCAAAAAAAAAAAAAAAAAAAAAAAAAAACCTGTTGCAGAATTAGCTGCCCTCCTACTAGGGATAGGCTAGGATGTGGTTGATTTAATTATTTCTGATGGACAAAGAATATTTTATTTATTACTAGTGCATGTTTATATTGTAATTATGGTGCTCAGGCAATACATCAAGCTCATATAGTTATTTCAATTTGGATGACCTGCTGTTCTCATGAAGACTTCTTTATGAATCAAACTTTGAGTAAAAACCCAATCATATATGCTCAGAATATTTCTAGAAGTATACAAAAGACTGGAAACAGTGACTGCTTCTGGGGAGAACTTAGTGACTGAGAGTCAGCATAAGGAAACTTACCTTTTTTTTTTTTTTTGGCCATGCTGAGCGGCTTGTGGGATCTTAGTCTTAGTTCCCCAACCATCCCTGACCAAGGATTGAACCCATGCCCCCTGCAATGGAAGTACGGAGTCCTAACCACTGGACCACCAGGGAATTCCCAGGAAACTTACTTTTCACTGTATACCTTTTGTACCTTTTTTTAAAAAATTTATTTTATTTATTTATTTTTGGCTGCACTGGGTCTCCATTGCAGCAAGCAGGGGCTACTCTTCGTTGCGGTGTGCAAGCATCTCATTGCCGTGGCTTCTCCTGCTGCAGAGCATGGGCTCTAGGCACGTGGGCTTCAGTAGTGGTGGCTTGTGGGCTCTAGAGGGCAGGCTTAGCAGTTGTGGCACACGGGCCTAGTTGCTCTGCGGCATGTGGGATCTTCCCAGACCAGGGCTCGAACCCGTGTCCCCTGCATTGGCAGGCAGATTCTTAACCACTGTGCCACCAGGGAAGCCCGTTTTGTACCTTTTTATGTTGTACTATATATATATTACTTCTTAAAAAAAAAAAAAAACTAATTTAAAAGAACAATGAACAAAGACCCAAGCCATTACCAGATTGGAACTGCTCAAAGTCTGTAGCATCAGCAGAGTATGAAGGACTCTTGGTTAGTACAGTTCTGCCGGGTTCCCAGAAGATTTGGTTACTTATTTGCCTACCCAACTCACATGGAAACCTCTGTAGCTGAACATCTCAACCCAAGTGCACTATGAAAGCAGACATTCAGAATCAGTTATGTGACGTTTAAAAGTTTGGAGTCTTCCCAAAATAGCACAAGGGGACTCACTCAAGTAAATGGACATCTGCAAATTTGATGAAAAGGTCAGTAGGAAACTGCTTAATTCAAACTCATTCCAGGAAACATGCTAAAACCCCCCAGGCCAAAACCTTGATAAGCAGGCCCACCCAGCTGGCATTCTGCAGTCTCCATTTCCTGCAGCAGCCCAAACATGATATTGCTGCCTTTAAACACTCCCCCTTTGTTCAAGAATCAGCATTTATCCAAACTCCCTGGAGAAAAACTTTCCCCTCTGCTCCTTCAGACAAACAGCACTGCCAATCTCCTCAGAAAGACAATAGCTAACATTTGCTGAGTTCTCTGTGCTTTACATGCAGTATCTCAAGTAGTAAGTCTGACAACTCTGTGAAGTAGGTACTCTTCTCTTCCTTTCTTTCCCTTTCTTTCTGTCTTTTTTCTTTCCTCTTTCTCCTTCCTTCCTTCCTTTCTTCTTAATAAATCTGTTTACTTATTTTTGGCTGCGTTGGGTCTTTGTTGCTGCACACCGTCTTTCTCTAGTTGCGGCAAGCGGGGACTACTCTTCATTGCAGTGCACGGGCTTCTCATTGCAGTAGCTTCTCTTGCTGCGGAGCACAGGCTCTAGGCATGCAGGCTTCAGTAGTTGTGGCACACGGGCTCAGTAGTTGTGGCTCACGGGCTCTAGAGCACAGGCTCAGTGGTTGTGGCGCATGGGCTTAGTTGCGCCACAGCATGTGGGATCTTCCCAGACCAGGGCTCAAACCCATGTACCCTACGTTGGCAGGCAGATTCTTAACCACTGCGCCACCAGGGAAGTCCCAGAGGTAGGTACTTCATCTCCATTTTATAAATGACAAACCTGAGGCCCAGAGGTTTGGCTCTTTGCCCAGGGTCACACAGCTAGGAGCTGACTGAGCTGGGATTAGAGCTCTCCCTTGATGTCAAATTCCCACTCTTGATCATGCACTATTATTCACATGGCTGATGATAAAAAGCCTGGTGTGACTTGGGGGAGATTACAGCTCTCAAAGCTCTTATCACTTGTATTGAACAAAGTTGCTGAAAAGAAACCAAATCTAACTCTTAGGAAATACAATTTAAGTTTCATGGTGAGTGTAATGGCTGGAGCCTAGGGCCCAGACCAGGCATCAGAAGATGTCATCCTACTACAAATATAATCTAGTTTGAAATCTGACTTTTATGCAAATTTGGGGCCCTGAAACATGTGTTGTTCGAGAATGAAGACAAAACCTCAAATTAGAAAAATAAACCACAGCCCTTGCTGGTTGACCTACTTGTTATGCTCCCTAGACATATGGTTCAGTGTGCTAACATAGCCACCATGTTTTGGGCACCTGCTCTATTTTATGTGCTGTGTGTATGTATACATCCTAATCCACAACTTCCCAAATTTACCTAGTCATAAGCATCATACAAGGGCCATGTGAAAAATACAGATGCACACGAGGCCTGAAGAGTTCTCTCTTCAGACGTACTGCATCACAGAATCTCCAGGCAAGAGGTGGAGACTATTGTAGCAACCACCCACGTGACTCCTAAAATCAGGGGGATCTGGTGGACTGCTACTTTAATTTTCAGCCTTGAAGATCAGCTTTTCCAGCTTCTTACATAGACTAGAGAAACAGAGGGTCATAAAAACGGCTGTCTGAAGACCACAGCAGGACTTGAATCAAGATCCGTCTGGCTACAGAGCCAGTATCATTCCGCCTACTCTTAAATCAATGCCACAGTCAGAGCATGCATATTGAGTTCTGTGGTTTGTGATCTTAGCAACCTTTTGTGAAAAATCATTCTGTCTTTGAGTGCAAAGTGAATGTCAGAATTTGAAATAGAAGTTAGTTGAACAATAATAGCGATATTAGAATTTATACACTCACACTTTCAAAGTGTGCTCAGAAATAGCCCATTTGATCATGGCATTTTATTTCTGCATTTAACATGAGACAGGAAGGCAATGAAGGTATTACCATCTTTTTACTACTGAGAAAATGGAAGCTCAGAGATGAGCTGTTTGCTCAAAGGCCTTTGACTGTCCAGTGGTGGAGCTGGGATTGGAGCTTGACCGCTGGTGACAATGCTTTTCCCACTAAGCACTAATGCTTTTACTGCTACAAACACGTAAATTCTTCTCTGTTCCATATAAATGTGTAGGCTCTTGTCAGACTCCAGTAAAGGGCTGACTTATGAGCAGGAGGCACACCAGAGGCAGATGGCTGTGGGAGGTGAATGTCCTTTGATGCACCGAGGCCTGGGTTCAAATCCCAGCTCTATCTCTTATGCTCTCTGGGATTTGGACAGTTAACCTCAACTCATTTTCTTCACCAGTCAAAATGGGAAATAACTGATTCAATCAACATTTATTAAGAAACACCAGAGTGTCAGATAAACCCTGTGTTACTAGAGAGCCATAAAAGGCTGTTTAATGCATTAATCAATAGATTATTTATCCCAGGGGCAAGGGAGGATTTTAGATGTGGCTCTGAAGCTAACCTTAAAGAATGACTAGAAGTTAGACCTGGAGCCTAAAACTCAGGTGCCACTGGGGGTAGACAACAGGGTACCCTGGCTCCACACAACCGATCCTGCACAGGATCAGGGCCTCATGCAGCTAGATGAAGCACAAGATCTGGGTTTCTCTGTGATCTCATAAGTTTTAAATGCTGGAAATTAATTTTAAGCTATGAAAACAATAGAAGGACAAGCAAAATCTATTTGTAAACCAAGTCTTGCCTGTAGACTGTCAGTTTTCTGAGTTGGCCCCGGGAAAGAGGAGGGCATTTCTGTCACGTGGAAATAGCACTAGCGAAGGTTGAGACTTGGGCTGGGCAGCTGGGTCAGCGAGCTGCATGCCCTTGGTTTGGCTGGGGTGTGAGGGACAGGAAGCTGGCCAGAGAGCAGCCCGGCGGGCCTGAGTGTGAGTGCTGAGCAGCACTGCCCTCTGTGCGTGCCAGTTCACAGCCGGACCTACACTGAGTGGGACAACCTCTGCCTCAGGGACCAGAGCCCTGTCCTGTCTGCCCCATCGGCGTGAGGGTCCAGGCAGGAGCAGGGCTGTCTTAACCTCACTGCTGCTATTGTGCTGCCCGGTAGTGGGGAATTGAAAGTAAGATGGATTTTGTCTAAAAGGCAATAAATATGTTTTGGAACAAGAAAACGTGTCCAATTTTTATTCATAAAATTATTAATCGAAACAGCAAAAGTAGATATACAGAGCCACATATCAAAAACGAAACCGGAAGGAAATGAAACATTCCAGAGACACCTGGAAAAGTTTCAAAGGAATACACACCAGGCAAAAGAATCTACAGGTAAACCGTGGTTGCGCAGAAGGTTATATTCATTCCTGCATTTTCTCAATAAGTTCTTCCTTATATTTGCCTTTCTCTTTTCCAACTTGTCGAGATTTGGCTTTGCGTTCAAGAATTTTTTGCCGATCTTTGTCCAGTTTTAGCCTGGTGATAACCACCTGTTAACATGAGAGAACAAATAGATATTGAATTTTTTTTTTTTTTTTTTTAAAGGAGAAAGGACTTATAACCACAATTAATCTTATACAGCAGATCTTCCCTCGACAACAGTAGCTTGGGTTCCTTCTTCTGCTACCCAATGCCCAGCTCCTAACTCTTGAGGATCTAGAAGACCATTTAGACAATTTAGTGGTACGAAGTGTCATTTAGCTTGTGAAACATTATATTACCCACATGGATGGTTTATCTATCCATGTTGGCAGTATAATTTGCCCTTGGCTGGCAAAATGCCCTTGGCTGGCAAAATGCATTGTTTTAAAAATATCTGCATTCCTACCAGCTGCTGGGCAATACAGAGATCATAAAGATGAGTGAGACCCAACCATTCTGCCCTTAAGGATCTGAAACTCTGGAGGAGAGACCCTACAATACAACGTATAAAATGGGAGGTTAAAGGAGGAACAGCATATTCCACCAGGTGGGTGTGAGGGCTGAAGGAAGAGGTGTTCTCTCTTCTCCCTCTGGACACTCTCTAGTGGGAAAGTGATGCCTGGAATGCCTGGAACACTCTTGCTACCAGCTTGCAGACAGGGCCTTCACCAAGGATGACAAAACAGACAGGGAAAGGAACTGGATCCCTCATGATATCACTAAGCCAGTGAACCAACCAAGCCTTCCTCCCAAGGAAGTCCTTACCATGGCCGCCTGTACAGAACGTACCAACAGCCAACAACTCTAGTAGGAATGCTATGCTACACACCCACTACCACTGCACAGTCCCAGGCCATACCTTGCTTGGATGAATGCCCACATGGACAGTTGTGCCATTAGCCTTCTCACGCTGCACCCGCTCGATGTAGATGACATATTTCTTTCTGTACACCTGGACTACCTTGCCAATTTGCTGACCTTTGTAGTGTCCTCAAACCACCTGAGAGAAAATACAAAAGAGAATTCTCCCCATTTCTAATGCTTGAACATCACAGTGAGGAAACTAATGATCAGGAACACACAGGCTAAAAATAGAACTTTTTGTATTCAGTCAAATTTTGAATTTTGATTCAATCAAAATCAGCTGGGGTTTTTTTTTGTTTTTTTTTTTTTGTATAAATCTGCTTTGTATTATTCTAAGTCAGGTGGAAATTCTTTGCCTGTATTTTTTTCTTCTCTTACCTGAACAAAACATTCCTTGAACTAAGATGGTCATCACATGACTAGTCCTGAGAGTAAAAAAATATAATCGCTGTACATCTAAAACTAATACATGTTAGGGACTTCCCTGGTGGTCCAGTGGTTAAGAATCCACCTGCCAGTGCAGGGGACATGGGTTCGATCCCTGGTCCAGGAAGATCCCACATGCTGTGGAGCAACTAAGCCTGTGCACCATAACTACTAAGCCCACATGCCACAACTACTGAACTCCCTGCGCTCTAGGGCCCATGTGCCACAACTACTGAAGCCCATGCTCCACAACAAGAGAAGCCACCACAATGAGAAGCCCGTGCACTGCAACAAAGAGTAGCCCCCGCTCGCCGCAACTAGAGAAAGCCCAGGCACAGCTATGAAGATCCAGCGCAGCCAAAAATAAATATTAAAAATAAATAAATAAATAAAACTAATACATGTTATAATCAATTATAGCTCAATTTTTTACAAAAAGTAAAATAAAAAAATATATAATCACTCTCAAGATCTAAACAGAATGGTTAAAGAAATTATACTTACTAACTGAATCACTTTGCTGTACACCAGAAACTAACACAACATTGTAAATCAACTATACTTCAATTAAAAAAAAAATTATCTTGAGATTCTCAGGCAACCATCTAAAACCCATGTTTTCAAAAAACAATTTATGACCAAGGAAAATGCTCAAGATACGACCTTTAGAGAAAAAAGAATACAAGGCTATATATAGTCTGAATCTTATATGTATATGCTTCATATATGTATATGGCATGTAACATGAGATGAAGATATATTCAAATGTCAATAATGGTTGCCATTAGGAAGGAAGGAGAATTACTGATTACTATTTTTTAACTTATGTTCTTCTAAGTTTCAAGATTTCTACAATTAATACAAATATTTTATAGTCAGAAAAAAAACAAAACGTGGGCTATTTTTGCAACTAAAAATCAGCTCATACTCCAATTCTATTCAAAAACTAACTAGATTAGGGCTTCCCTGGTGGCGCAGTGGTTGAGAGTCCGCCTGCCGATGCCGGGGACACGGGTTCGTGCCCCGGTCCGGGAAGATCCCCCATGCCGCGGAGCGGCTGGGCCCGTGAGCCGTGGCCGCTGAGCCTGCGCGTCCGGAGCCTGTGCTCCGCAATGGGAGAGGCCACAACAGTGAGAGGCCCATGTACCGCAAAACAAACAAACAAACAAACAAAAAAACTAACTAGATTATGGTTTCCC